TTCTTAACAGTGAGGGTGACAGAGCCCTGGAACAGGCTGCCCAGAGAGGTTGTGGAGTCTCCTTCTCTGGAGATCTTCCAAACCCGCTTGGACGCAGTCCTGTGCAACGTGCTCTAGGTGACCCTGCATGTGCAGAGGGGTTGGACTAGACGACCTCGAGAGATCCCTTCCAACCTTAAGCGTTCTATGATTCTATCTTATTATGAGGATAGACTAAGCGAGCTGAGCCTGTTTAGTCTGGAGAAAAGAAGGCTGAGAGGAGATTTGATCAACATGTTCAAGTACATGTTCAAGGGATGATTGTAGGGAGGGTGGGACCAGGCTCTTCTCTGTGGTGGCTGGTGACAGGACGAGGGGGAATAAACACAGGAGGTTCAATCTCCATATGAGGAAGAACTTATTTACTGTGACCCTGCGTGTGCAGGGGGATTGGGCTGGATGATCTCTAGAGGTCCCTTCCAACCTTAATGATTCTATGATTCTAAGTTATCTCCACTATTCTTTGTTTATGTAATATTTTTATGATTTTTTTCAATGCCACAACTATTGTGTGTATGAAATAGCAAATGCTCTTTGTTTTTATATATATGTGTTTTAATGGTATCTTTTGTAGTGTATCTGGGCTTCTGAGTTTGAGAGAAAAAATGGGAATGCTACTCAAAAACTTCTATCCTTATAAATCCTTATAATCCTTACAATGCTGCCTTGTCTTGTAATTTATATTTGTATTTGCCAAAAAGCAACGAAGGTAGTAACTTGCATAGAGTCTTGTATTCTAGTTTCTGGAGTAGTCAGAACAAGAACATTATAATAGACAGAAGGCAAAAGGAGGAGTGAGAGAGAGAGGTGGTGCAAAGACTCTGAATAACCATTTCATTTGTTTTTCAAGTGTGTGCCGTACTTAATTGCTATGGGCACAGATCCAGAGCCCTCTATGCGAAACAAAGCTGACCAACAGCTGGTGGAAATAGACAAAAAATACGCTGGGTTCATTCATGTAAGTAATTTTAATTTAAACTTTTCATTAATATTGATTATATGTCCTCTGATGGTTAAATGTGTCACAGCTGCAAAAAAAAGAATAAAAAGCGATGACTGAGCAGTAGCCATCTCCAGCTGTAAAGGAGGCATGTGGGGAGTGTGGGATGGGACCTCTGGCTGCCTTTCAGGAGGTGCCGAAACCAGAGCAGAAGCCCTGGAGCAAAGAAAAGAAGCTGGCAGGTTTAAGAAATGTGCAAACAAACTGATTTTCCATCTGTTCTCTTCCAGTTATATGGACGTAGTATTTTGTTTTACTAAAAGTTAGGTCAGACATACAAATTTGCTCATCTGTTACAGTTGTGCACATTTATGTAATGCTGAAAATAGCTTTATTAATGAAATATTTGCAGTGAAGCTGCTTATGAGACGTTATGGGGTCTACCACAAATAATGTTCTGATCCATTTGCCAACTCCAAAAATAAGATTACCTCAGTTCACGTTTGGAAGCTAAACTTCACGTGAATGTACACTTAGAAAGATTAAAAAAGCTAAAATGTGAGTTAGCTGTTGACTGGCAGAAACTAGGAACCTCCGAGATCTTCATTTTAAAATTTTCCACTAGAGAAATTGCATTGTTTTGTTTCAGCTTTATGGTTTGGAAGCCACAATTTTAATAAAAACAAACACTTCTCTGTTGCAGATGAAAGCAGTGGCTGGTATGAAGATGTCTTACCAGGTACAACAGGCGATTAATACCTGCCCAAAGGATCCTGTGAGAGGCTTCAGACACGACGAATCATCCAGCGCTCTGTGCTCACACCTGTACTCCATGATCCGCGGGAACCGTCAGCACAGAAGAGCCTTCCTCATTTCTTTACTCAACCTCTTTGATGACACTGCAGTAAGCATCGCCCTTCCTTCCTCTAGAAAAGAACTAAGATACAGTGTCACAAGCTCAAATTCTCCTTCTAAAATATTTTTGACATAATTATCAATAACTTTATTCCCCTAATACGTTTTGTTTTGTAGTGAGGTATTAAGCTATATTATGGAATATATGTGGTTACTTTTGCATCATTTCATTTTCTTCCTATAGCCAGTTTGTAATCATATGCAGAAAATGCATGTGATTATTGTGAGTGCATATACATACGTACATACACACATACACACACATATATATATATAAAAATATATTCAACTTGACTAAAGTTTGCTTATGTACGTTTTGACTAGGTTGAGGTTAGAGGAGTTACATAGGAAGAAATTTGTAATAATATTTTTGCTGTAGACTGTTAGAACACAGGTAACTAAATCTGTAATATATTTGTACGTGCACTCTGTAAAATGTTTTGTTTTTTTTTAACTTGCAGAAAACGGAGGTGAATATGCTCTTGTATATAGCAGACAATCTAGCCTGTTTTCCCTATCAAACACAGGAAGAGCCACTGTTTATTATGCATCATATAGACATTACATTATCAGTCTCTGGTAGCAACCTACTACAGTCGTTTAAAGAGGTAAATGCATTTATATTTATATATATATATATGTTGATAACAGTATAAGCTGTGTATGCCAGAGACTTTTGAGAAAGGTACTTGTCCTAATTCTGGACTCTGTGTTAACTCCTCTGTCTCGCAGTCCATGGTGAAAGACAAAAAAAAGGAAAGGAAACCTTCATCAGATGAGGAGACTGAGAGCGACAGCAACAGCGGGAGGGAGAGTGAGGAGGAACCTTCCAAGCCTCAGAGGTCGCAGAAACGAGTAGACTCGGATTCAGACTCTGATGAAGAAAATGATATAAATGCTGTGATGAAATGTTTACCCGAAAATTCAGCTCCTTTAATTGAGTTTGCAAATGTCTCTCAAGGCATATTATTACTTCTGATGCTGAAACAGCATTTAAAGAACCTCTGTGGATTCTCTGATAGGTGAGGATGCCTGGGGGAGTGGGAGCGCTACCAGCTTGTAACCTAGGGAGGCCTCTCTCAGGTCAGGAATGTTAAAAGCTGATGGTAACAAATAAGAATTCTCATTTAACTACATTAACTGCTTTCCTTGAAGATTTTAAAAGTTTCTTCTAAAAAATTTATTTGGGTTTTCCATTAAGTCTCCTCCCTTTGTTTTCTCTAAACAGTAAAATTCAGAAATATTCTCCATCTGAATCGGCAAAAGTTTATGATAAAGCGATAAACAGGAAGACGGGAGTGCATTTCCACCCCAAACAAACGCTGGATTTTCTGCGGAGTGATATGGCTAATTCCAAGATCACTGAAGAAGTGAAGAGGAGTATAGTAAAACAATACCTAGATGTAAGTAAAACAGCACTGCAAAGCTAAAACTTTTTTTTGTTTTGTTTTTTTAACACAGCATAAACTTGGAAACAGATTGTGATGAGTTACACGAACACTTCAAAATGCTGAGTTTGCGGTAATCTTGTGTGATATTCTTATAACTCACAACTGCCTTTCAGGATGTGTAGCAAGATCATTGATAGTCCTATAACAGATTTGGACACAAAAAGATTAATTTCAATTAAAGTATTTTCATCTTCATTAACTATTTTCTAATTTCTTGTATCAGTCATTTTATACTGTTCCTGTAATTTTGTCCACTTTATCCCTGACTGCTTCCAGTCAGGAACAGAGACTAGATCTACTAGAACTAGTGTTTTTACCTGGCAATTCTCTAAAATATTAACTAGAGAAAACTTTTGAACTATGGGAAGAAAACTTGTAGATATCTATCAGATACCTCTTATGGGAGGAAAATAAAAAGGTTGTAGAACAAACAAAAACACATACTGTCCAGTTTGGAAGTTGTCTGCCATTTGTTTTATTCTGCTTCCTTATGTGTATTCATTTAGTTTTCTTTCTTTTTTTTTTTTTTTTAATGTATATATAGTATGGCATAAATTTCTATTTTGAAAAGTTACAATCTGGATGAATCGTTTTTTGTTTGTTTTTTGTTTTTTTTTAATATATTCCCACCTATATAGTTCAAGCTCCTAATGGAACATTTGGATCCTGACGAAGAGGAAGAAGATGGGGAGGTGTCAGCTAGCACAAATGCTCGAAACAAAGCAATTACCTTGCTGCTTGGAGGAGGCAGCCCTAAAAACAATGCAGCTGAGACAGAGGACGATGAGAGTGATGGGGAGGATAGAGGAGGAGGCACTTCAGGGGTGAGGCGGAGGAGGAGTCAACGTATTTCGCAGCGTATTACGTAAAATGATTTTTATGTGCTTATAAATGTCAGTCTATTATATTAAATGTACACCAAGTAATGTAATCCACATGAAAGAAAGCATTTTGTAGATAGAGATTCTCTACTTAACCGTTTATACAACTTTTGTAGAAAGTTTAACAGAAAAGACAATAAAAAAAATCTAGAAAATGAGATTTATCCAGTATAAAAAGTTATTAATTTTCTTTTGGAATGTACTGTGTGTTATCCTTTTTATTGTTGCCAAGTTTTTATGTAGCTTTGATTCATGTGTATATATAATTTTATATATCAATAAGAGATAAAGACACGGGTACAAATTAAGAGTATGTGATTTTACAAGGATATGTTAACCCCTTGGCGCTGGCGGTCGCGGTGCGTCTCATTGCCGGCAATGGAATGTGTGCCGGGAAATCCCAACTCCCGGCGTCAAGGGATTAAAAGCAATAAAAGCAATAATTTCACTAAAGTTCTTTTGTGTAACACTTGGTCTTTTTTCCCCCCCAATGTTTTAGTCATTGAGAAGGTCAAAACGAAATTCAGACTCTACGGAGTTGGCAGCACAGATGAATGAAAGTGTTGATGTCATGGATGTCATCGCTATTTGCTGTCCAAAGTACAAAGACCGACCACAAATTGCAAGAGTAGTGCAGAAAACCAGCAGTGGCTTCAGTGTTCATTGGATGGCAGGCTCCTACAGTGGCTCCTGGACTGAGGCTAAGCGCCGTGATGGCCGCAAACTGGTGCCTTGGGTAGACACTATTAAAGAGTCAGACATTATTTACAAAAAAATTGCTCTAACGAGTGCTAATAAGCTGACTAATAAAGTGGTTCAGACTTTACGATCACTGTATGCCGCCAAGGATGGGACTTCCAGCTAATGAATTTGTACATGCAGCCAAATTCACAGGATTTGAAATAACAGAAAAACTTGAAATACCAACTTTCTGGCAAAAAAATCAGTAAAATGAAGAGTAAGAATGGAACCTGGGACGCAGGAAAAAAAGGAGGAAATGTTTGGTAAACATTTTTGTGGGAGCTTCCTTCGCTGTTGTGCAGCAGAAACTTCTTAGTTCATTTTTACTCCCACTGTATTATAGTTTAACAAAAAATTGTTTATATCTTGAAAAAAACTTTCTGTTTAAAAAAAATAAACAAGTGAATGTTGGAAACTAGTCTGTTAATGTTCTTAATAAAGTGTTCTTGGAGTTTAACCTAGCAGCGGATGGCTTTCTTTAGCTTAGCCCAGTTTCCAGGGAAGCATTGTTTTTCCAGGCTGTAAAATGCCAGGATCTCCTGGATATATAATTTATTCTGTTGAGAAAAAAAAAAGAAAAAAAAAAAAGGAAAAAAAAAGCATGCAGTATCTATGACCTATCTGCAGGAGGAGTTTTTGTAAATGTAGATTTTGATGTATTAGGTCACCCTGAAATAATACAAGAAAAGGGATCCCCAGCAAATCTGGCGGAACGAATACTGCAATAAATTTTTTTACTTCTCTTTGTTACTTGTCTGTTTCCATTTGAATTTCTTATTGTAAAGATCTGTTTAAAACCATTTATATTATTTTGCAGTCTTTTATGTAAAATTTACTATAACAGTGGTTTTCAAAACAAGACATAAAATATTGTTTATACAGTTTGTATAGGCTGACTTCTGAATAATTGGTATCTTTTTATTTTTATCCCTTAAAGGGTGTAAACACAAGTTAACTCCAGGGTTTTATTGTATCCTGCAATATTTAGTATTAACTATATGATTTAGCACTGTGCCAAACACATTTTCAAGAGTACATTTTGATATAAAAGAAACTATAGTTTATTCCTTGTATGCTTCAATTTCTTTCTAATGCTGTCCAAATGGTAATTTATGATAGCTTAAATTTTGGGAAAGCTGAATGACTATTCTGCTTGGGCTCACCAGCCATGGATGCATTTCTCTGGGTTAATATATACAGAGGTTTGTGTCAAAAGGAAATAACTACCAGTATCTGAGGAGTGAATGGGTATGAATCTGGGTAATTAATGCTACATTCCTTCACAAATGAATTTTTTAAAAAATGTTTGTATATTAGACTATTTTTTTTACTAATTGAAAGATGTTTTCACATTTT